GGGGGTTGAGAAAGTATCATTTTCTTTATCCGAATTCGAAGTATCGTGCATTTTAAGTGTTTCCACTTCTCTACTTTCTTTTCTTCGTCTTTTTGCTGATTGTTTTTTCCCTGGACTGACAGTCATAAAATCATCTTCTGTTTCGTTGCCTAATTGCTCCGGAGCGGAGGCCGCCATGGTTGCAGTGACGTGGCGCCACTACAAAAAGGCGGGAGTTTCAAAAAGATTCGATAGTTTTTAACAGTGTTAGTATAAACAATTTGCCCACAAAATGTCTGCTTACCTTTGTGATTCCTTCTTGCGATGTAGGTGTTCACTAGATATTCCAAATAATATGTGATATAAAGGAGATTTTCTATTGTAAATCCTGATATTTCCTAAGTGTAACAAATTTGCGTCCACGCCCTATCGCGAGCGAGTAAGTAAGTCAAAGTGATGAGTATAGGTCTTGGTTTAGGAACGAGGTCAGTGAGAAAGGTAGGGAGCATAGAAAAGAAGTGCCTATGATAGAAGTTGAGTGTTTAAAAGCATTGCATGTTGTTTGTATGTTTGTTGCTAAGGGGATACTGATTATGATACATCAAACAGTGATGATCGAACTTTGTCTGACTATTTAGCCATTAGTGTGTTTCTAGCGCCCTCTATCATTGTAAACCTTATTTCTCATTTTGCAGATTGATATAAAGGTGTTACATGTTAAATTGATCTGGAATAATAGGGGTAAGAGCAGTGTTTAGGGTTAGACCAGGAGATCATTGGAGTTTGTTTGGAAGTAAGGAAAGTATGGAAGATAGATATTTGGATTGGAGTGGTTGAGGAAAGTTGTATTTGATGCAGATATAAAGAGATTTATAGTTTCCAGAATTGATCAATGTTTCTGGCCTTGGGATATATTGATATTTAAAAGGAGAGATATTTTGTCTTTGTTCCATTGTTATGATATTGTTAGTTTCATTATTCATTCTATAATATGTGCTTACTTTAAAAAGGGGAAACCAGGATAGCCTATTTAAGTTCATGTTATTAGGATATTTGCATTGTCTTAATATTACTAGATACAAATTAAAGGTATAGTTTATTGAACAAGAATTAAGTAGTGATATGGAGGTCACATGATAAAGTTATTAAACCTAGCTTGGTGTGTTGGTTTATCCAAATTTGCAAATGTGTTGCTTTATATGAGTTTTATATTGACTGTTATTTGTTTAAGTATTTGGGTCAGGTATTTACCTGTGTTAATGTTAAAGGGATAGTTTAGTTCTGTTTTTAGACCGCAAGTGCCTTCAAAGTGCATGGTTATTGCTTCTATTCTTATCTATGACATTTCTAGTGACCTTTTAGAACCTAAAATTGCTATGAAGGTAATTTTAGACCCCAAAATGTGTGAAATTTAGCCAATACGATCATACCGATTCAGCTCCACTTAAAAACAAAATACAGTGACCGTTATTTAACTAATTAATTAACAATAACAATACATGAGCCGGCTGGTTTTGCGTAATATAACGAACACGAAAAAGCCAGCAAAAAAGTCAACATTGGCATTGGCTGAAATACAACGTAGAAGGCGCTATTTTGTTTCATCAACACCTGATTCAAATTATTGAATATTCGTGGTGGTACACAAATATTAGAAATTGTTATATTTCTGGACATTTTAGCCGTTTCTGAACCGATTTCGATCAAACAAAGATGATTTTGTCATTTAAATTGTATGTTCTTTCGAATTTGACACTCAGTTTTTTATTATCTCACCAAAAAATAGTATGTGCAGCGCCCTCTGCAACAGAACTCAACTATCCCTTTCAGAGTTTCAGTTACATTGTACGGTGGCAATTGGTTTTTAAAGGGAAAATTTACTCGTTATATATTTGATAAAATGACATGTTTTGGGGAATGCATGATCTCCATGATTATCAGCATTATTATGTGATATGTAATGTGTCAGTTCCTGGTTACTATATTAGTACTAATAAAGAGACTCTTTGCTTGTCCCTCTCACAGGATCTGTCTGTCTGTCATTGATCTCCATATCTCGACAACCTCACATACGTGTCATTTATGATTCTACTGAGTAAGAGAATATAGAAGGTTGATCTGGAGCTGTCATATCTTATAACATTTCATTTTCTTAGTTATTGATGATGGAATAGATTTTTTTCATACAGGGTTTGTATAAATCACATTTGCTACTATAATATTAAGGGTGCTTGATTTTGTTTTAGCATAAAGATAATTGGAAGGGTACCTCGAGAGAAATGTCACAGAGTTGCCAATTTGTGTTAGATTGATATCATCTTTAGAAAAGTCATATTATTCTTAATTTTAATCGTTTTTTTTTGTGCTAAACCTTTCACTCAAACCAACATTATCAAGGGGAGGGGTCCCTTTAAGATGAATCAATTTTTTTTTTTCAAAGATTTTGCAGAGACTTGCCTGTTTCACAAGCAGCAAAAAGGTAATAAATTAGATGTATTGCAATAAGGTTAATGTGAGAAAGGTTTAGATTCCTAGGGTATTTATACATTTTAATATTAAAATAACTACTATCTACTATAATTGCAGTCTATTTTGGTTGTTATGCTTATACACATGAATGACATCGGTATTGTTGCAAAATATAAACTAGATAAAAAAACAAAACGAAACAAACAAGTCCAGAACAAAACGAACAAAAAATAAATAACTAAATCGACCATCTCAAATGATTGTCTGGATATTGAAAGGTATTTAAACTTCTCAACGGCAAATAATTCTTACTGATATGTCATTTTCTGGATGATTTACTGTTTTGTTTATCTCAAATTACCGCATTTTCTTTCATTGATTGCAAACCGTCATCGACCAGATGCATTTCGTGTTTGCATTTGAAATGACTACTCTCTCTCTCTCTGTCTTTCTTTTTCTTCCTCTATCACTCGATCTATCTTTCTGTGTAACAGAATAACACTGCAATCTCAAAATGGTTAAGCAAAAAAAGAAAAAAGAAAGACAAAAATTAACCCAACGAGTTTGTAATATTTGACATGGACGTGAAGGTACACAAAGGTAAATTTTCGAAGCGAAGGGGGAGGGTGGGGATGATTTTCTTTCTGCCCCTATTCTTTTTAGTAAGGTAAAGCGAGAGAGAGAGAGAGAGAGAGAGAGAGAAAGGGGGGGGGGTAAGTATTTTATGATATAATCTAATATGTATAAAATAAAATATGTTACAGAAGCAAACAACCTCCCCCTCCCCCCAAAAAAACACAACAATAGCAAGCAAACACATAAACAAAAAATGATTAAACATTCAAGAAGCGATTTGCCCTGAAAGGAGGTGATGATTACCCAGACTTGTTTTTTTCCTTCCACCCGTCTACCCCTCCCCTGCCCTCCCCTCCCCCTTCCCCTGCCCTCCCCTGCCCTCCCCTGCCCTCCCCTGTCCTCCCCTGCCCTCCCCTCCCCCTCCCCCTTCCCTAGCCTGCCCTCGCCTGCCCTCCCCTGTCCTGCCCTCCCCTGCCCTCCCCTGCCCTCCCCTGCCCTGCCCCCCCCCCTCCCCCTGCCCTCCCCTGCCCTCCCCTGCCCTCCCCCGCCTCGGGATGCCATGACTGTTGGTTTTTAGTAAATTCCGAGTTCATGGTATCTCTTCTATTGCAGGGAATAATTTATTCGATAGATCTATTTCATTTCTGACTGCCGATTTGAAGTTAGTTTTGTAATGAATATACAGACTACTTTATTTTTACGATCTTATTCTTTAGTGGAGTGGAGGTTGACTTGTATTGCAGCTTTGTGTACCGATCTTACTGATTGATTATACTCCTTAGCATATAAAACAAGCTACAATAAGCTTGGAATAGTAGAATTGTAAACAGGTTACGTTGGGTTCTTGATTATGTGCATGACAATCAAACCTTTCTGATTATCATAATAATCAAAACACCATATGGAATAGAGTTGTAAACAGGTAACCTTAGGTTCTTGATTAGTGCACGGCAATCAAACCTTTCTGATTATCATAATAATTAAAACACCGCATGGAATAGAATCGTAAACAGGTAACCTTAGGTTCTTGATTAGTGCACGGCAATCAAACCTTTCTGATTATTATAATAATTAAAACACCATATGGTATAGAATCGTAAACACCTTAGTTTCTTGATAATGTGCATAACGATAAAAACTTCATGATTATAATGATACTAAAACACCTTTGTTTTACAAACTTTTTAAGTGCTCTTAAATTATTTTTTTAGAGATAAATGAGGTAAAAGTAATTATAGTTGTACAGGTTAAGGCACAGAGAAATTCAAGTCCATTGAATTGAAAGAGTGTATAAGCAGGCTAATTAGGTAATGAGAGTATTATGGAAAGCATATTATCTAGGTACTCTAAAATGCAAAGACTCTCCGGAGTGATACATTTTGCACAATATAAATTTTAGTTATGTTGTGACAAATTGTTGGACACCAGTGGTGGATCCAGGGGGGGGGGAGAGGCCTGAGCGAATTATCAGCCGGCACGATTTTCAAAATTAGTGCTCGCTAGGCTAAAGCTAGGGTAATAATAAATGCGCCTCGTAATACATTTTCTAGATAGACGGCGCTATAGAAATGCCTATAATTATTATTATTATTACAGAATTTGATGTTGGCTGTAAATTGGACATAGTAACTTTAAACTATAAAGCTTAGTTTGCTGGAAAAGTCGATGTATGTTTTTCTTTTTGTGTTCGCCCTTTCTTTACTTGTTTTTTACATGTTACATGTTAACTTAGTTTCCTTTCTTTATACAGCGTCGTATCTGAATCACGTTCACTTAAAGTATGAGTTTTAACACGGTGGAGTATCATCTCGTTCACACGGTATCCTTTGTGTGACCCTACGTGCTATTTCTAACGAGGACGGGGTGTCACCGCGTTCACAAGCTTAACTATTTGCCCTCTACTGCGTCGTGTCTAAACGGGGCCCACAGAAGGTGTCGTTTTTAACATGGTGGTGTATCCTCCCGTTCACACGGCATTATTTCTCTGGCTCTCCTTTCTTGTGCTGAACAGGGCGGGTGTCCCAGCGCTCGTGAGCTAACCTTGCCACAGATATTGTTGCCGATGATGCAACGATTGTGGTGAGAGTTTTCGTTACGGTAGTCGGGCACGGTGGATTATCCCCACGGCCACATTCAGGGTTTCTAGTGGTTGTTGTTGTACGCGCTTCCGTGTACATTTTTGCAGTAGACATAGTGGTAGGTGTGCCACCTGTTGAACCATTTGTGGTTAATACCTCTGTCGTAGCTGTTAAAGACGTCGATGTCGTATAAATTAATGCAGTTGTAGATGTATCAGTTGTGGTTGTTGTATCTGTCGTAGACGGTACTGTTGTAGTAGTGGATGGCATTGTGGTAGAAATGGTTGTCAACGTTGTTGTGTACACTGAAGTTGATTCAGGCGTTGTTGGAGCAGCAGTAGTAGTGGTCGACCATCTTGTTGTTGCAGGTAAAGTTGTAGGTAGGTGACGTGTTGTTGTGACAAGTAAAGTTGTAGGTGTGCGACGTGTTACTGATGTTGTAGCATTGTCAGTAGTTATTGTTTTTGTTGTTGTAGGTGGTGGTGGCGGCGGCTTACCCTCTTCGGAAGAACTGCCACTGTCGTCGCCACTATCGCTGCTACTGTCGTCGCCATTATTGCTGCCACTGTAGCTACTACTATCACTGCCACTATTGCTACTACTATCGCTACCACTATCGATGCCACTATCGCTGCAACTGCTAGCATCCCGATTTTTCTTTTGTTGGAAGGGTACTTCCTCAATATTACCTGGATATAATTAAAAATGAATGATAAAAAACATGTGCGCAAGGAATTTCGAGAAATTAACTTGAGGAAGATTTGAATTGCTTAATTATTAGAAATCATGATTGTACGGAAAATATTTAGTTTATTGAACTGTTTGCAAATTTCAAAATATGTCGCACAAGGCTTCTAAAATTTCCAATACGACTTTTTTTAATTTTTTTTTTTAAGTCTTAATTTAAGCGACTGTGTTACGTTTTTGTTTTAAATGTTGATGTAAGTTTGTACGTGTAGGTTTCTTTATATGATTGTATAATTTGGGAGCTCACGTTACCATCGAGATACCAAAAGTGCATTGATTTTTTGTTCGATATACACAGAAATGTCTTCTCAATGACTTTTTAAATATTCTGTGTATATTATGTCTTCCAAAATCCAAGATTTATTTTAGTGATTATTGCTATTCTGAAACAATTGAAACAGCTTGCGCGACAGAGTGTTAGGTATTAACCCGTTAATTACTGAATTCTCTTATTCCCATAGGCTTTCATACAGGAGCCACCAGGTTCCTGTAGGCAATGGGTTTAGACTGAGCTGCTGCGAATGATTAGAAGCAAATAAACAGATCAATTCCAAATAGTTCTGTATATATATATATATATATATATTAATATTATTAGTATTATACTTATAATTGCCCTTGATGTGCTGAGAAAATGTTTTTAAAGCTTTTTTGTAAACGTTAACTATTATTATTATTAACTGGAGCATGTCAATCATGGCTGTCATCATCTGCTCCGTGATGTCTCGGTTTTTACTTGCACGTCCACCGTTTTATTGTAAATAATAGACTTCATGCACTGCCACTATGCCAACACGTTGCACGGACATCCCAGTTTAGCTGTATGATAGCTGTCATCGGGATTACATCTACAAGTAACAAGTAACACGTAACAAATGGATGGAAATGTGGTTTATAATACCTCCAAAACTAGTCAACTCCATACAAAAACAAAATGTTTCAAACATGAGATGATTAATGTATTTTTGAAATACCTTGTTTTGCTGCTACCAATACAACGATAAAACAGGTCAAAAGTAGGAAAGTTGTAAACTTAACGAGCGCCATCTACGTCAGGTGATAGAAAAGGAAAAACGAAGAAAAAAAAATGAACAAATTCAACATGACCTTCCACATTAAGAAATATTTGATGTCGTGTTAAATGGTTCATTGATCACGAATAATATTTGCTTATTTTAAAAAAAGAAAAAAATAATAAAACAAACAGAGAAACACACACACACACGCACACACACACACACATTATAACATATGGATATGTCCTTTTTTTTCGTAAGATCAAGATTAGTCTTCCAATTATTTGTCCATAAATATTTTAAGTATTTCACAGAAATAGTAGTGGCACGATTAGAAATAATTGCTCGAACATAAACTTGACCACTAGGGGGGCGTTTAACCAAACTTGTCATCAGTGACAAATGATAGTTTTTCAGTCAAGTCATTGAATCCCTGCTTCTGATTGGTTATCAGCAGATTTGTCACTGATTTTTGTCATTTGTCATTGAATAAAGGCTTAGTTTGTAAAACAGGCCCCAGATCTAGTTTATAATGGAACCACTGAAAAAAAAGTGTAAATTTTCCTGTCATCTCAAATCTTTTTTTTCACCAGACCCTTCTACTTCTAATACAGTCATCGTTCTTCTCTTATTCGTGATTATCGTTGATGGCGTCATAAAGGTTTGTCTTAAATGTATTCTGCAAGTAGTAAGAAACCATGCACAAGCAGCAAGGCCCGGACTAGTCCATAATCTGGCCTATTTAATTTCCATCTCCACCACACCAGCGCTATTATAAGTCTTCCTACTTACTTGCTACCAGCCGATGATGGCGTGATCATTAAATTAGGACGCCCGGCTGGCTGGGCTGGTGAGCATAATTATAAGTTTGATGATAATTACGCCATATTCGACGGCTTGAATCAAGTGTGTAGGACCGGGCAGATTGTGGACTAGCCCTGGGCCTTTTTCACAGATTGATGATAACTATACAGAGATTGGTCCTGGCGATTTAAGGAACGAAGCGACGCCCGACCTATCTGTCAGTCATTCCATCCTCGATCTTAACATAAAACTGGAAAGAAGCAGGCCGGATGGATAACATGATTGGCGGATGCGAACATTAGGGACTTTTAGATTTGCGTGGACTGAAACGTGTGACGTCCATTCAAGGCAGTGCATTAAAAGGACGTCGATGGTAGCAATCCCCATTGTCTTCGTGCGCATCTAAAAGTCCCTATTCTGACTAGCTCCACGTCTTCCGGAATCAGCCTCACACAACACTGCCTCTACAGTCTTTTATTCTACATCTATCAAACAAACGGAAAGTCTAAAGAAAAAGGTCGAGATAGACGATGAAATAGAATACATTGATTTTAAATAGATATGGATCATGGTACGCATATAAATGCGTTCAAAGTAACAAAATAGGGCATGTTAACACAATGATAGTGCCTCTTTGTAACCAAGTGGGAGTTTTAAGGTGAATTTGACCAACCTGGTTCGAGTGGGACAGACTATGGGCGAATACTGTTCTGTTTTTCAAGCTAAAAACAAATGGAATATACGTACGCCATGTTGTGACCAACTGAAACCAAGTTGGCCAAACTGTGTGACTTGAAGGGGAGACGCCACTTGCTATTGTTATATGATGCGTCGGGTCCATATTATTTTGCTGAAAACACTTTCGAAGAGCATAAAAATGGCAGTCTGTGTCGCAGTGTTGTCCCCACATTATTCCCGTGAAGTGCAGAGGCAGATGTAAAGTAGTAGTAGAATATTTGATTTCAAACAAAATGTTGAACATTTTCTTTCTCCCCCCCCCTTCTCTCTCTCTCTCTCTCTCTCTCTCTTTCCTTCCTGATATCTTATTCTTATTTCACCCAACGCAATTCAATGCTTTCACCTGAATCTTGATGTTCGTAAATTAAATGATGTCAACGTTCTGTTTAATCATTTCCATTGAACGTAGTTTACTCTTATAAATATTAGCACGACACTTACTTAAAAGTGGGGTTTGCTAAAACCTTGCCATTACAAATTAGCAAGTTGAAGTCGAAGCATTGTGTCCTAATGAAGATCAAGTTAGTTTTATTCTCTCTTTATATCACGTTATTTTTCTTTCTCTTTACCAAATTAAAATTTTAAGCATTGTGTCCTAATGAAGATCAAGCTAGTTTTATTCGCTCTTTATATCACGTTATTTTTCTTTCTCTTTATCAAATTAAAAAATTTAAATTGTGATATTGTATTGATTTAATCTCAAGAAATGGTACACAATATATAGTTTATAAGCCCCTTTGTAAAGTGATCTCGTTTGATATACAAACCAATGATTTATATGGTTTATGATTGACATAAATAAACTGTTTTTATCACAACAATTACACACAATAGATACCTCATAAATATGCAAGGACTATATCGGTACTTTATCGATTTATATGAATTCATTTAATATGTCTGTAGTGATAATAATTATGATAATAATAATTATGATAAAAATAATGATAGTGATAATAATGATGATAATAATAATTATGATAAAAAATAATGATAGTGAAAATAATGATGATAATAATCATGATAAAAAATAATGATAGTGATAATAATAATACTAATAATACATATGGACATATCAACCGAATGAATTCAAAAAGATACCCCCACATCCTTCTCAACGGAAATGTACATGGCAAACGCCGAAGGGGAAGACCAGCTAAGAGATGGACAGACTGCATCAAGGCGGACTGCAAAAACAGACACGTTGACTCCCTGACTAAAGCCACTAGGCTAACAGAAGACAGGAAAATGTGGCAAGCCATAGTGAAACAGAAGCCATCATACATCCCAGTGATGGTGTGGACGGCTTAAGTCAAGTAAGTCAATAATACTTTGTATTCATTTTTGTCAAATAAAATATAAAAACTAATCAAGCCATATTTGTCAAATGCATATCAAAACTGATAAAGCCAACGAGACCAACATTAAGAAGAGCTCCATAAAACCGACCACTCAAGAAGCTAACATCCAACAGGCATACAAGGGCGACATTCTAACCTAGTGAGAATGAAAACAAATCAATTAAAGGCCCACTGCACTACTGGTAGCTACTTGTGCCCTCTATATATCAAACAATGCCTAATCGGTGACCATTGGTCCCCCATGATCCTCTTTTTCTTATGTTAACTGAGAGCTGAGTTGATGAGATAACCACCTGTCCAGTGACCTTGCAGAGTGGTCTAATCCCTCCTGTAAACTACGGCAGATAAGCTTTAACAAAATTCCTGACCGATATTGAATCCACACATATGTCTACAAAGTCGAAATACACATTTCTTAATCTTCAGACATGGATCCCTTCTTAATTGGTTTTATTTAATGAGCACTACAAATATTCCTTGTCTTTACTTATTACTCGACCGAATCAAAAACCAAGATCGACAGAAATAGTCATAATAGTAGTTTTGAAACCGTGTACAGTGTGCGTTAAAAAAGTATACCCGAGTTCGGAAGATCTATTTTTAAATGATATTACTTTTGAAACCATTAATTATATTTCATATCAAATGATTTCTAATACGCTGTTTCATGAACCTTAATTATTAAATCTGATGTACCCGATGGCTGAGCAGTATCCATATCAAAGAATATTGTCGAAATCTTTTTGGACCAAGACTGGGCTCAAGCAATGAATGTGAGCCAAATGCCTTTGCGCCCTTGATGCTAGTGGATCTTTGATTTGTCATGTGCTATTCGAGACAAATGCCTATCGAACGTTACACCTTTTGCATATGAATTGGTAAAATAGACAAGCTTGTTGTTCGTGGGTTTTAAGGCTGACCAATGTAAAAAAAAAAAAAAAAAATCATTTCTGCCTGGCTGTACTATTTTTTGAGTTGTTCATCATTGATGATTGGATGGCGCTGTTTCTTTTCCTCTTCTGTGGGTATCATGCAAGCAGAGAGATCACGGGAAAAAGAGTTGGTGGCTGTTTAAGTAATTGAAGGTTACCTTATGGATTAAAACAAGGTCTTTTTAAAGCTGAAATACCTTGGATCGCTTTCCACACTGGAAATACTGAAGCGTGAAGCATAAGTTAACTTTCAAAAGCTTTAACATGACCTATTCAATCACTGGCATGTCATAATAATGTTTTCCATCTCTGGTGAGTGCCCGTATCAGGTGCGAGTAGTGCCCTTTTTTCACCTCTGATAAATCAGATTTTTATTTTGACACGTGCTCTTTTTCTTTTTTTATAAAGTGTCCATTTAACTCTGGATTAGTGCTCCCTTTTCTTTTCACCATGTATTGTGCTCCTAATTTAAGGCGACTTATCACCAAAAATCGCTTGCATTTAAAGTTAATATATTTCCAGTACTTTTGGGATTGTTTTTGCTCTTCAATTAGATGTAATTTTTCGAGCTCGGATCACACAAATCTTTAAAGTTGTGTTCACTCGCTTCACTCGCTCGCAGATAAATATTCAAATCATCACATCCAACTGCAAAGTATAATGCTAAAGCAGTATATAGGACCATGTAAAGGGAGAAACAAACAATGAAATCATCCCTGATAATCAAATTACAATGTAGGGATATAAGGGCCTACCAATGTCTAAAAATGGTAAACTTTCGCTTTGAGGTGTCTCTTTGTAGGTGACCCTTTTTCCAGAAAAGGCCCTCGTTTTGCTGTCCCCCCTCCCCCCCCCCCCGTCACACACATAAAAAACAATTCGCCGCCCCTGGCTAAACTATACACTTATATAAAGATATGCTAATGTAATACGTAGATGGATCATTAATATTTCTTTCGATCAAAATAACAGTATTGTATTTCACGTGTCCGTATGTCGCATTAAATGGAAAAGCAATAACTCACTCTGAATAATTACGTCTATAGTTTCATATTTCGAGGACTTATAGAAGAGTAATAAACGTTGTTAGTTGCCACTTATGTCCATTGTTTCGAGTAAGATCTGCGAAGCTAAATACATTAGTCTTCTTGCCAAGGCAGAGAGCATGTTACAAGATGACACGAAAAGATCTTCTGAATTTATTGTCCATTATTTTCTTACGACATAGCGGTAAGTTGATCAACATTTTTAACTGCACCAGTTTTGTTTACGTAAGTATTTGGGTAGATAGTGTATTTGTACCATGGAATGCATTCCATGTATTATTCACCGCGTCTAACAATAAATGAATCTAAAGGCTTTCACACTGATGTTTGTCACATTTGTAACAGGAATTTCCAGCCTTAAAAGCAAACAACTTAAAGATAAAACACAAATATGGAAAGTTTGTAGGCCTACCAGATCGGACAAAAATATCCAAAGAAAGTTTAAAGCCTATATTTATAAGTTGTCATCACTATAATGTATGGGAACTCCGGATGGCTGAATCAATCATTTCCCTGATATGTATAGTGCCGGACCACTTTCCCATTTGTTTCAAAACACGAAATGACTAAAAATGAAGGCGAACCTAGAGCCCTATAAATTTATTATTATGCGCTATATAAAAATTGCTTTATTATTATTATTATTATAACCTATACTTCACAAATTAACCCGGTACCAAAAACTACACTTACATGATATTACATCTAAAGTTCACGGTAAGATCTATTCTTAAACCTATTCTAACACATATGAACTTATTCTGAAACATACCACTTCTTTGTAGGTTCCATAAGTATCTGCTGGGATGGATACGTGCGCAATATAAATGTAACTATTATTTTGAATGATTAAGTTCAACCGTATTCCTAATCCTATGGTCTCTGATAAGTATGAAGATATTTTACTGTAGCCGGTAGGAGAAACTGTTGGACCATCATATTGCTACCATATCGCCAAATTGATTTTGCCTCACCGGGGCCTCACGATATGTTTTTGTCCCGGTGAACGAAGGCGAAACAGCTTCACTTCGTTGGCATGCTGGTCGTGAGTTCACCTAAACATAACCCTAACCCTAACCCCCAACTGCAACATAACCATGTGCCTTCCATTGGTCAAATCCCCAACTTAATAGGAAGTATCACATCCTGGCCTAGTTCCAACTCTAAACCGCACTAAAACACATTTTCAATACTAACCATATAAGCAAAAAGGAAATGTCGCTTTCGCAGAAGCAATTAACTGTCTCTGAAGCAAGTATTGGATCACGTTCTTGTTATACTTATACTATCCTTACAGTTTGTGTCTCAACGGGACCCTACGATGTTCTCGTCCCGTCGAACAACGGCGAAACACCTTCACTTCGGTGTGAGTTCGTCTCCTCCGCCGCTACGTTCGACAGGCTGACGTGGACCAAAGATGGTATCGACAAATTCGTCCTCATCCGGGACTGCAGAGACACCCAGATCACGTCGTGCAACGTTTCGGTCACGTCTGCACCAGGGAAGTTTTCCGTGAGAGGCGATTTGGTATCGGGAGTCATTTTGCAGGTTAGCCGAGTGACGATGGAAGATGATGGGATCTACGAGTGCAAAGCAATTATTCTAAATGGTATTTCCATCACGCGGATCCGGCTAGCAGTTTTGAGTGAGTTTCCAATGCATGCTGTAATTTATTCTAACTTTTGAATTGCTGGCCCAATCAAATTTGAGCGGGTTTATACTGATATTTCATAAAGGCAAATGTCTATATATATATATATATATATATATGTATGCCCTGTTAGAAATATAAAATCGTAAAGTTTTATTAAATTAAAATATCATTTTTATCGACTTCATTCAAAAATATGAAGTCGTCTTCGAAGTTTAAGGAATCGGCCAATTGTTTCAATTAGTGTTACGGGTCTTGAACAAATGTGGCCCGTTACAGGTTATCATTTTTCTTAGGTTTATTGTTTACCAAAGCTGTGACCAAAGTTTGTATGATTTTGGTAATAAGATGCAATTGTTTTTGGTTTTTTTAAGTATGTGTGGGGGAGGGAAGGGTGTAAGAGAATTTGAGGTACATGTACTTCCATATCAATTTTATTCTATGCATGCTACGTCTGCCACGGAAATTAATCTACTTTCTCTCCCTCTCTCTCCCTCTCTGTCTCTCCCTCCCCCTCTCTCTCTCTCTCTCTCTCACACACACACACACACACACATACACACATAGTGCCATATTACTTAATTCAAACATGATTATTACAATTCGATGGCTTTATTGATTAAGTTGACGATTTCCAAAATGAATATTTGATTTCTTTCTAACCAGGACGTCCCACTGCTATCTCACTGCTGGATGTCGGTAAGAATTCATCTTTCAATGAAAGGAGCATAATGCATGTCGTGGGTGGTCACTACAACCGACTCAACTGTACTATTCCGTCGTCTAACCCATCGGCAACGATCGCCTGGTCCTTTGGTGACGTCAGAGTCATCGTTCGTGAACAGTCCAATCACAGCATTGCATCTGACGGCCCGCTGATGGCATCAACCAGGGCGATAGATATTTTCCCAACTGCAGAGGACGAAGGCAAAATAATATCCTGCACAGCAACCCATTATAGCCTATCAAATGCTCTACAGAAAAACATTACCCTCAATGTTGGACGTTAGTAAATTAGTAATATGAACCTATGCTTTCAGTTTCCGTTAAAGGCATTGTTTAACAATGCTAAATGTGATATACACGGCCCTACATATTATCAGTGTCTGTGATATGGTGTAATATTAAAGCCTTTAAAAAAATCGTGCTTCAAATTGATCACGAAGTGCCTCAAAAAAGCAAAAATCTTCGAGTGACCGGTTTTTCCATACTCGTTTTCCTCAATAGACTGTAGTGTTATGAAAACCTGTTTTCAAAATTTGTAATTCCAATCATAAATATCCTGATAATCAGACAGGCGATCGGCTTGTAAAAGTCATGGGGTTCCTGGCTGGCCTAAAGGTTTATAATTATCATTGCAGCATGAGCTAAATCCAGGATTTTGTTTCAGAATCTGAGACAACGTTACCGGATCCCTTTAAGAATACTGCAGACAATGAAGGCAAATTATTTCCCTCATTATAGCCTTTTAAATGCGCTACAGAAAAATGTGATCCTCATTAATGTTGGACGTAATTAGTACCTTAGTAATATTAATCATGATCCAATGCTTTCAGTTTCCGTCAAGAATACTACATGTAGTTTGAAATTATGCATATCGATGAATGCAACACAACGTTGATAATGACCTCCACCCTTATGTTTAATCGTAGATACTTGTTCTGCATGTATGTAGTAATATCTTAAATATTTAATGCAATGATTAAAGCCAGGGTAATTATGCTGCATTATTGTAGAGCGCTTAGAGACTTCTGATAAAGTAAGTGTTAGGCGCCATATAAGCAAATATAATTACATGTATTAGTATTCAAATCATGTATTGATGTAATCTAAATTGTCCGTGTTCCTAAATACAGACATTAAACTAGCCAAAACGTTTCCTTTTCTGAATTGTGATAGTGAAAATCATTTCTTCATTAGGACATGGCAGCTCTGAATTGGTAAAACGGGCTGCTAAACAATACACACCTCATTATAAATAGCATAATAATTATAATCTAGATACAATCTTAAAAGAAACGGTTTTAAAAGAACATATTTAATCATTGCCCATTGTTGATTCATTTCGAAATCGATCATCATAAATTATGTCAAAACAGGTTTACCAGAAAGCCCAAAAGATGCTGCCGTTGTTATTGCGTCAGTCACAACTAAGTCCTTCATCCTCACGTGGTCTCGTAGTTCCACAGGCGGAAATCCTCAAACTTACAACGTGGTTTACTGTAAAACTCTTGAACCCGATCAGTGCTCGGAGATTTCCGGAATCGGCACTACTCGTGTCAAGATCGATAATCTTCGGCCTCTTACGTTCTACAATGTCGAAGTTAAGAGCCATAATATGTTCGGCTTCAGTGAGGATAATGACATCGTTGAACAGTCAACAAAACGTAATTATTTGTTATTATCATTAATATTAGTATTACTATCATTGTTAATATTATCGCTATTATTATTAAGCAATAAAACGGTATGGAAATTAGTAGGCATTCCTTTAAATATACAATGTAAAATAATGCATTAGCGATGAAATGTCGTTTGATAAAGAATTATTGTTGACACATTATATCCTATAGCAACCTCTACTTAACCTAACCGTAAAGCAAGGGACAAATGTAATATGCGATTTGTGGATTAGCCCTTATCGAGAAAAAACGTTTTCTAAGTTCCGTGAAAGAATATTTCGTGAAGAATGTCGACACATATTATGATTATGTCACTATTTTTTAAAATCTTTTTACCTGTTTGGATAAAGTTATTTCTGAGTACTGAAAGTATAGATATACACATGTCTATTCATTATTGTTCTTATACGCTAAAATTGAAAGCAGCGACACATTTTCAAACAAATCGGAAAGGATGATTGCCAAAGTTTATTTATTTTATGATTCTTTGAAGGAAATTAACAATTGCATTTTCTCTTCTCTTTTTAGCCCCATCTCCAGCCGAACTGGGTATGTATTTAGAGTTGGAATATTTTAGTTTTACCCCAATTTATGGAATTATTTAAAAAATAATTTAAAAATAATAGATCAAGATAATAGTACACATTCTCAGATTTTATTGCATAAAAATTTGCCAATGTGTGTTTTGCGGGACTGCTAAAGCATGTGTATGCTACCATGCTTATCAACTAGGGGACTTACGCCCTCAAGTCATAAAAAAGGTCTTCTGTGTGCCCATTCCTTGAGTCATAATGCATGGCCGTCCAGAGGATTTTTTTATGTTGGGGACCGGGGTAAAATGCAATAAATTATTGAAAATTTATTGCATTTTCTGTTTTGTTTTTTTATTTATGGAAACTGCCCGCCTACCCTAGCCCCCGCTGCGTACAGTCATGGTTCAGTGACAAAGCAATGACCTCGTAACTGTGAGGCCCTAGGATCAAAACCGTGTCGATGTGCTATATTAGTGCCCATTTGTGGGGCATTAATCCTCATTACTATCATTTATGACTCAATGGCATAGGTCCCTTAGTTGATAAGCATAGTAGCATACACATGCTTTAGCAGTCACGCAAAACACACATTGGCAAATTGTTATTTAATAAAATCTGAGAATGTATACTATTATCTAGATCTATTATTTTTAAATTATTTTTTAAATAATTCCATAAATTGGGGTAAAAAAAATCGACCTTTATAAGCGACAGTGTAAATAACAACACATCGATGGTATAAGTAAATAAAATGTATGTTGACACTACATTCACTATTACATGTACCATTTATTCTTAAATCATCATTTGCATATTCAGAAATTGTAAGAAAGGTGAATCTTATATGAAATTTTAAATAAACGTGTTTAATTCAATCTTGTTTAGATTCGATACTGAATCTATTTTCTTTTATACTTAGACAATGTGAACCATTACGTCATGACATCCACTCCCCAAGTATCTATTCATTGCAATCAAAGTTTAATATACTACTCTTGAAAAGTTCCATTGTGATATTCATTGGACCTTTCAATTCAATTATGTCCACCCATTTTAGTTACGTACTTATTCTTCTTGTCCCTTCTTTTTCCGGGGGCGGGGGGCGTCCAATAATTATTGTTGTTGTTTGTCATGTTTTATTATATGTCACCATGCTAACTAATCTCATTCGTTGGCAGGCATCAGGTCGGTGTACAATCCGGGCGAAGGGAGAGTAGACATATCTCGACCAGACACCGCACTCGGCCCACTTCCCCTCGGACTCTGCTTTCAACTCGTCCTTACGTCCTCGGATAAATCGGTCGACCCTGGAGCGGAAGACAGTGACTGCGTAAGCGTTGATGAGAGCATCTTGATACCGCTCGGATGGTCGCCGAAAAATCTGGCACTAGTCAGTTACGGCAACAATGTCTATAGCAAATCCTCGAAGATTTTCGGTACCGCGAAAGGCAAGGATATTGTTGTACATTTAGCCTATATTATTCGAACAGTTTTCTTTATCCTTATTCTTGATATAATTCTTATTATTATTATTAGTTTCATGTTTATATTTATTATGATCATTAACATTATCATTATTATTATGATTATTGTCATTATTATGAATAAACTTGTTGTTATATGTAAGACAAAGGGAATTGGTAGATTGCTAATGCGTAGCTTTTTAAATTGTGCAAAGGGTTATAAAAACCCGGATTCTTAGCTTGTGCATTAACCACTAGACGCTTTGAGATTGTTCAAAATGTTTTTCCCGCGACAAAGGAATTAATTAATGAAGCCTAAAGATCTGTCATTCTGTCAATCAGTCACATTTGGGCCCCGTCTTACAAAGTCCTCCAATCAATCACAAGTTTGCAGTCTCCCATCTTTTATGTACATAGTTGCGATTGATATCAATTATTTGTATGACGGGGCCCAGGTGTCGCAAAAACCACTAGCGCCGTTCCATTCCCGACGGAGACATATTTTTTAACCCTTGCAAAGAACTGCAAAAGCGATGACAATTATATGGGCCTTTGATAACAAACAATTTAGATAAATTGTTGCTTCTTGTTGTGTGTTTTTTTTTTGTCGTTTTTTTGCTAAACACAATAAATATTGAGAAAAAAAATAACTTCTCCGAAAACCTCGAGTAAAAGGTTACGTCTTTGTTTCTTTTTCTCTCCTTTTTTGCAGGGAGAACTGGCCTCATTGTTGGGCTGATTGTAGTAGGATTAGTCGCCATTGCTGGTGGCATTATTCTTTACAAAATGAAGAAGAGTAAGAAAACCTAAAGATCATTCTTCCATTATTTTTTCTTCCGTATCATTTTAGCCACCAAAATCAAGATCGTTAATGATGTCAGGCATGCCGGGCAGAAGTATTAAATTATGAAAATTGCTTTTAATGGAAATGTTTATTACAAACAATTTGTCCTGCATGTATTGAACTGATAAGAAGTCTTTACCTGTTTATAATTGTTACACAGGCCTTATATGCCTGCGCCGGTTCAGTTAATTAAGATTAGTAAACACGGAGATCCATTAAAATACATAAGTCTGAAACATATATTTTGTGCCAAAGATTCCAAAGAGGTATTTATTAATATTCAGTGTCGAAGGTACACCGATAATAAATTCCCAGTGTGACAACTGGCATCTTGATTTCAAACAAACAATTCTTACAAAAACAGGTACATGCAAAGCTTTACAATATGTTGTACAGGTATACAATACATGATAGAAAAGGAGCAAAGTAAACTACAGTATACATTAGAAAACATATCAAGGAATAGAAGAAAAGTATAGATGTTCATATAAAGCACCAATGATAAAACACGAGTCGTTCGTCAATAAGCACTAAATACATCGATCAGGCGGAGAGCGTTGCCTGAACAACGACAGCAGTCCCAACTCTTGTCCCGAGGGAAATGGAAGTGGAACCATGGTGGAACCATGGTGAAACTCTGTTAAGAAACAAAATCAAGGCAGGTCTTAAAAAGCTGCGACATAGTAACTTCTGGGGGAAGTTACATCACACGTCTATCTGCCTTGAAGTCTAAACTTGCTCTCCTACTTAATCAATAATAATTCTCCCTTATATGGAACACAGTAATTCAACAAGAGTATTTATCGTCTTACAAGTAGTTATTGGGCTATCACTAAACTATCTAATCAAAAGTATTTTACAATGACTGAAATATCTATAAATAGGTCTGGCTTGTGAAAAGTAGTATCTTAATTCATACTTAGTCATAACCATCTTGTATCAAAAGTTAATGGATAAACACATGAAAATATAACAATGGTTTTCCAACGTAAGGAGAATCACACTAAACAGTATCGTACAATTCATTCAAATTGCATGAGGATCTTATGATCTCTCTATAAATTACTAGAATAAAACATGAATATACTTTTAGGAAGGTGAGTGTTCGCTTACCTGTTAAGAAACAAAATCAAGGCAGGTCTTAAAAAGCTGCGACATAGTAACTTCTGGGGGAAGTTACATCACACGTCTATCTGCCTTGAAGTCTAAACTTGCTCTCAACGAGAAAGCCAATCTTTCTTCCAAACCAGGCAAACAACCCCACTATTCCCTATTCCCAAGACAAAGGGGTACCAGTAAGTGTATCCACTGGTCATTCATTATTTATGTACTCTACGAATAAAGGAAGTGGTCTGGGTTTAAGACATAAACAAGGCCTATAGCATAGGGGTCTTTTTGTTCCCATCTCTTTGTTTCACCAGTAGCATATACCAGAGAGGTGATCTTAATAGAAACATAGTTTAAAGGTACACTTTAAATAGGGGTTCAACAATTTAAAGTAATATAAGCTTACTCAAAAATAGAAAATAGGTTGGTTTACTCAAAAATAGAATATACCTTGATAATAAACAGGGTCTGACATAATCTTTATAAATAATGAATATATGTATATTTGCTTGGTAAATACCTATAATGATAATGTTTTCATTTCACCTTCATCAACATGATCGATATGATTTTTGCAAAACTAATTGTAATAATTATGTAACGTGAATGTCGTCTACTGATATATTTTATGCTTGACTTAAAACGTTATAAATGCTAATATAGGACTCGGTAAATTATTTATTTTGGTATCGAAGATTACACTATACAGCGATGGTAAAACTTTACGAAGCAAACAAGAATTGGCGTCTGCATGTCAATTTAACACAGAGGCCATTCTCATGGGCGTTGAGAAAATAGTAATTATAATAATGATTTTGGTAATAGCAATAGAAATAAGTATAATACAAATAAGGAACATGAAAATACACGTACTACTATTTTTGTTAATCTAGGGAAGCCTAATCACATCGATGATTAACTTTCTGAAGGCCCTGCAACTATCACTAGCCCAGCAATCACCAGTTAGCCATTTTTTGTTGGTTGGAAAGTTTCTGGATTAATGTTTTGCCAAAGAATGATAATGCCGGGCAGGGATCCGAACCTTTAATCCTTGGGTTGAGGATCAAGTGAAAGAACCACGACACCCTAATAAAATAAAAGTTATTATATCCTGCATCAAAAATTTGTTGGCTTTTGATTGGTTGAGGGCTCGTCACATGACCAGAAATATTTGAACTATTTTTTAGAAAGTACTTTATGAGAGTACTATTTGGGATTACTATTTGGGAGTTGAAAAAAAAAGTATTTTTTTATTTTTGTTTATGCAGGATATAAAGCAAATATACCATGCCTTCTATTCGAGGTACTGGTTAAAACTATGGGCCTCGGTGACTCCAAAAGTACCATTTGCTGCGCCCCTCAGCAAATAGTACTCTTGCGCATAGTTTTAACCAGAACCTCTCAAAACAGTGTATATTTGTATATTAGATCATTCTTTTTTTGGTTTCAGGGCAAGGAAATAGGAAAGGTAAACGGTCAAAGATGCGGCTACCCCCTCAACCAAAGACAACCGGCAGTATGACTACTGATCTAGACAAAAGAGAGGTGGGTATTTATATTGGTATATTAACTCATAGCCTGCCATAAGGATGCATGCTCGCTATCGTTATACTGCTTTGTCCATGTGAGAGAGATATCGCTTAAGTGCCATGTGCGTGCAATGCAGCATTCGTAATAGCAGATATTGTTCATACTCATTGGACTGTGCTGTGTGTTTTGCACTCGCTATTCATAGAACCATGGCGTGTTTTGCACTCGCTATTCATAGAACCATGGCGTTAATCAGATTATCTCCAAAACAACCTGGCACAGGGGGATTTGGGGCTTGGCACAATAGGGATTAGCCCTGTGGCATGATAACAGTTAACATACCGCAAACCAAATATATAGTTATATGATCATTGCCTCCCTCCTTTTTCTAACATTTCTTTAGCAGGTGTTGATTCGACATGGACTTCTACGATCTGTTGAACATATTCACATCTTCACCGAGTTTTTGTTTAAGGGGTTTTATGTATCTATATATTAACGTAGAACATTTCTTTTACCATATAATTGAAATGCCAAATATTCACCAGTCTAATTACCCTTTTGGCTGTCAGACATGCCTTTCAGTTCACTACCAAGAGGTTGATGATGTCCCAGACGACTGTTACCAAACGAATGCCATGTACGGCATCCGCCATTCTTACGCAGAGGGCGCCACACAGGCTGCATCAGGTTCGGGTATGGCCGAAGATGGCAGCAGTTACAGCAGGAAGATCACCAAGACCAAGGCGGGGAACGAGATTGATAAATACGTTTACATCACCCCATGAAAACAAAGGCTGAGTGAGATGGTCTAGTTCGCAAATATCTGCTCTGTCCTTACTTGTACATTTCAGTTGGTGGCATTAAGGGCATTCAGAGGCAGGATAATTAGTGATATTTGAATATAATAATAATAACAATAATAATAATAATAATAATAATAATAACAATAATAATAATAATAATAATAATAATAATAATAATAATAATAATAATAATAATAATAAAATAATATTCATTTTTAAAGCACAATAACTATGTGGATATATTCTACTGCGCTGCAAGAGCTCGTAAATGCTGTACTATACATACTATATGAACAAGTGAGTTTTCAGTCTTGATTTAAAATTATCTAAAATATGTTGATTACTGAATCAAGATCAACATTATTTTTTTTTTCCAGGTGAAACCAGACTCTTACGTTCTGCGAGCGAACAACAGTGTAGTCAAAATATCGATATTTCCTATCCCACAATGTTCAAAGTGACGCAGCACTTTTACTAAGTCTTTCATTG